TTTATGTTTCACAGTTTTGGTGTCAGTGTTTGGTTTTATTTTGTTTCAGTTTTGGTTTTGCATGGAGAATAAGAAAATCACAGGTAAATAAAATGTACTTGAAATGTAAAATGCGATAAAGTAAAATGTTGTAGATAAATTGTAAAAGCGTATCTGGGCATCTGCTACTGTTGCGTTATTAATGTTGCGAGCATAGTATGATTTGCAACAGATTTAAATAAACTTGCAAGGAAATTAAACAAGGCGAAAAATCTAACGCTAAAGTCAGCAAAATGAGTTGTAAAAATCACAAGCAAAAGCAACCTTTAGCCACATATGAAAGATCAGGAGTGAGTATAAGACATTGGTAAAAGTGGGGGCTCAGAGCTCGGTTGTGTGCTTCCCGACCTTGAGTAAGAGTTGTCAACTCGACAATCTACAGAAGGTAGTTCCTAACCTCAATCCAAATGACTAACCATGGACTTTTATAAATTTTCTTAGAAAAATTATTTGATTTTCATGCAAAAGTTGTTGTTTAAGTTTTTTTTATGCAGAGTTCTTTTTAACATGCAAAAGGGATTTTGTTTTATTTTCGTAAATATTTTTGTAAAGCCATATAGTCCATAGGTTAGTCACTCTAATCGTGCTAGAACTACTGACAACCTAAGAGTGTCGGGGGCAACGATCCCACCAAGAATCGGCGAATAGTATCATGGGTCATTCCCTCTCCCTTACTGAAGATCCTTGAGGTAGAAGATACTATTCTAATAATTCTACTTCGTATCCCTCTTTTAAGCACACATAGTACTGACAACCTAAGAGTGTCGGGGGCAACGATCCCACCAAAAATCGGCGAATAGTATCATGGGTCATTCCCTCTCCCTTACTGAAGATCCTTGAGGTAGGAGATACTATTCTAATAATTCCACTTTGTATCCCTCGTTTAAGCACACATAAGCAATGTCGTCATCGCCCTCACCACTTAGACTCTAGACTCATCTTAGTCCGATGATCCATATGTGGCGTTAACAAATTTCCCCAATTATCAGGAGGATTTGAGTGTGTTATCCAAGCTCAAATCCCGATGCACTGGGTTTTATTGCAGGTTAAGTCATTCAGGGAATTTCACTGTTGATTTAATTAAGGAAGCACGGGTCACATCTCGGTGCATCATGTCTAGTGTCTTAGTCAGTTTGTGTATTAGGATACAATGTCTAGTTTCACCGTGCATTTGAGGATTATGTGAATAGACTCTTACCTAAGGTATGCTCCTAAAACCTTAACAGGTTACACTGCAGAGATTAGGTAGATGGGCTATCACCTAGAGTGTGCTCCTAAAGCCTAGGAAACCTACACTGAGGATTAAGTGGATGGGCTCTCACCTAGGGTGTGCACTTAAGCTCTATAAAACCTACACTGAGGATTAGGTGGATGGGCTCTCACCTAGGGTGTACACCTAAAGTCTAAGAGGTCTACACTGAGGACTAGGTGGATGGACTCTCACTCTTGGACTCTCACCTAAGGTGTGTGCTCCTAAAACTCTAGGAAACATACTCTTTAACTTATGCTTAATGTGATTTAAAGTTTTCTATATCTGCCAATTAATTAAATCATCAATTCCCATATTTATGACTTAACCATTTAAAAAGAAGTAAAACAAAAAAAAGATGAGGCAGACCCACTTCCAAAACTAGTAAAGTCAAGGGGGAAAACAACGAGTGGATCGGCCTAAAAGCGGCCTAAAAGCGTTTAATCGGCCTAAAAGCGTTTAAATAATAATCAATTGAAACCCAAAACAGTGGGCAAAAAAAGGTCCGTAAAAACAGCATGTAAATCAACACTTAAAGGCTACATAAATCTCGTCAAAATAATGTGTAGATTGCTTCAAAATTAGCCCACCAAAATGTCTCAAAATATTGATTAAAACAACCATGCAGATGGTGGGTTTAATGCCTTCAAAACAGTAGGCAAGGCTCTCAAAATTAGCCCTAAAACAATAGAAAAAGATCTCAAAATCAGCCCTAAAACAGTAATTTTAAAATTCCCAAACAGCTCTAATGTAAACTCAAAGCATTAATCTAAAATGTCTCAAAATCAGCTAGGAAATCCAGTCCAAGATAATGTGTAAACTCTTCGAAATTAGTTAATAAACTGGCTCTAAAATAGTACGTGAATCAGTACGCAAAGCCCTAAAAATCGCAATGTTTAAACCCACCAAATAACAGGTAAAACAGCCCTCAAGGGAGGCATTTGGAAGTAAAAGAACATAGACCCGCAAAGAAGCATTCAAGCCCTAGAATAACGGTCATCTCGAGCCTCGTAGTATTTCCTTTAAAGTGTTCAAAGCATGAAATCATCAGATGAGTATTTAAGATCAACAAGTAAATGGTCATTGGGACTTCACAATATTGTATTTAAGTACTTGAAACATAAAACCAACAACAGAGCATTTAAAACCAGCAAGTAAATGATCATTGGAACCTCACAATATTTGCATTTAGGTACTTGAAATATAAAACCAGCAACTAAGCACTTAAAATTAGCGATAACATATAATTGAAATATTTTTTATATCTCTCCAAAAATCAGTACGAATGTATTCATGTGGAGAGAATTTCATTTCAAATTTATGTAAATAATTTGATAGCCATAAGATGCAATAGCTGGAAGAATAAACCTGACGTTACCTTACTTCGACACAGCAGGGACACAACAAGGAATGAGAAGGAATGGGAAAAGGAGGTAGCTGGTCGCTGGCGAGAAGGAGGCTAGCAACTTCAGTCGAGTGAGGAAGAAATTCGGACGCTTCTCCTACGTGCGTGAGGAAGAGGGAGGTCGAATCGAGTTGGGTGCCGCGTGAGAGGAAGACAAGGGCCTCGATGGGAGCTTCCGAACAGAGAGATCGCGGGCTTCGGTTCGTGAATGAGCGGAGGTCGAAACTGTCGGACGAGGAAGGAGGTGACGAAGGGTTTCTGGTCGCACGAATGAAGAGGACTGGGGATCAAGCGGATGAGGCGAGTGAGGGTCTGTCGAGCGCAGAGGGAGAGCGGGATCGAGCGGGCAGCAGATCTGCTTCGATCGGGGGCTTCGATCCAATCGCAGAGAGGCGAGGGGATTTGGCGTGGGTGGCGGGATCGAGCAAGCGAGGAGTGAGTTTCTTCGATGCAGAGAGGAAGGCGAATGCGGGAGAAGCTCTGCGGCTTCGGTGCGGGAGACAGAGGCAGGGAGGAGGGATCGAGCAGAGAGGTGGGTTCCTTCGTCGCAGGGAGGAGGCGAGTGCGGGAGAAGCTTTGCGGCTTCGGTGTCGGAGACGGGATCGAGCGAGCGGAGCAGAAGATGAGGAGTTCGGGAGAGGCAGAGGGGGAAGAGGCGAAATGCAGAGACGGGATCGAGCAGGCGTGCTTCCCTCCTTCCTTTTGTTTCTGTCGAGGCCAATTAGTATAGCCGAATGTGAGAAAGTCGTTCTTCAAAGCTTTGGTGGGGAAGTGAATACCTTCCTTTCAGGCAGCCAGCTTAATTGAAAAAGCTTTATGGGGGGAATTAAATGATAAATTTAAATTTTAAATTTTGAATTTTGAAATTTCTGAGCTGAAGTAATTAGCCCATGTTCAGCCTGAATCGAGCCCGAGTCGGACCTGGGTTGAGCTCGGGCCCACGCACCGCTAAAAAAAAAATATGCATCGATATTTGTGCTAGTCGCTCGCGCGCGAAAACATAACAATGCAGGTGTCCTTCCTAGCTAAAGTCGACGTCCTGGACGCATCTGTGCGGTCCGTTTCATCATCCGGGATCGTCCGGACAAACTCACTGGTGTGCAAGTCAAATCAAGTCAAAATCGTGTGGTGCAGTGATTGCGTGAATTGCGGCGTTCGCGAGTAATCGAGTCACAAAGCGTTCACCTAAGGCTGTTTGATCCTATAGGAACTCATTTTTAGGCCCTCTACATGTTGGTTCTTAGCCCTTGCAACTAGAAGTTGAGTGCTTGGAACCACTCATGTGAGTTCTTCACAAAAATGAGTCAAGAAGTGGTTTGAAGTTCTACGGGAGGTGGGCTCCATTGCTAGTCCGCTAGGATGGTAAATAAGAACTCCTAAAGCTAGATCCTAGTTTCTAAGAGTATGAGACTAAGACTTCACTAAAAATGAGGTCAGCAGCTACACATAGGGACTTTTTGTTAAAGCATGTGAATTAGCATGCCGCTCTCTTTTCTCTTTTGCTAACCAACAAGGACTCTTTTGTCAATGCCCAGGAGGCATAGTTTAATAATATATTGTACTTTTATTTTCTAGTAACGTGAAATGCGTACCTTTCAAGGATAGACTATAAAAAATACACTAATAAGAAGGATAGTTAAAATTCATGCTGAGATTAAGAAAAAAAGTGACTAGACCAAAGAAAACATGTAAAAAAGTTGTGCAAAAAGATTTCTAGTGAATATATTTAACACCTCATGCTAGCAAGGATGAATGTACAATGGGAATTCATTAAGATGGCCCCAAATAGTTAGTATAAGCTTAATGATGATAACTTTGAACCTTCACAGCAATCTGATATGAGAGTGCAAAAAACTATTAAGTCCACTTACATAGTTAAATTGACTCACAAATCAGCTCCAATACAGCATCTCCTTCACCCACATTAGTTTTAGCAAAAATACAGCATTTTACAAATAAGAAAGTAGGCCAACATATTAGAGTCTTTCTTTTTTCTTTTTCTTTTTTCTTTTTTTTTTTCAATAAAGCCAAGCTACTAGAGGAAAGGAAAAATAAATCAAAACAGAATAAAACTGTAGAAATTCTCCAAAGTATCACAAACACTTCTTTCAGTTAACATATTGAGGTCTGTATAATGATTGCTCATTTGTACCTATTCTATAAATTTCAGCCTTGGCCTTCTGTTAATTAAAACTATGTACAAGTATCTGCAGTAAATCATAAAGGTTTAACAGTGCAAATAAATTCTCATATATTCAACGAATGAAAGAAGTGCATTTTAAATAAAATTATGAATTAAAGGCATACATTAAGTATCCCAGACATTGCAGTGCAGTCAAACGGAATCACGGTGATCTAGTATAGACATGCAGCATTATCACACTTGACTGAAGTAGCAATCCTCTGCTGGTTCCCCTTTAATCTGGAAAGGGTATCATGGCATTACAAACATAGGAATATAACGATAAGAAAACATGCTTCGCTAAAGTATCATGCCACAGCAATAAAGGAAAACACGCAATGCCAAACTTACAGTAAAAATGATTTTACACATTTACTCATAATTTCAACAAATTGAAGAGAACATTTTTCAGCAGAATTTTGTGGACCAAGACAGGTTAAACATTTAACTCTCGTTTTTAGTCATAAAAACAATTGTTTGAACATTAGCTCCTCATTTTTACTCATTAAGCCAAAAAAGAAATTACAAATTATGAGAAAAAAGGATGGGAAAACAAAGCAAAATGAGATGTCGAGGAACTATTTTCAGGATCAGAATTCCAGGGGGCGAAGGAAGTAACAAATGTCAAAACACAGTACGGCAGCACATAATGACAAGAATTACACATACAGGCAACCTGAAAAGTTCCGTATAAAAGGAAAAGGAAATCACAAGGGTGAAAGTTAAATGAGACAAGTAAACCATGCAATTCAAGCAAGCCAAGCAATGCTAGCATCCATCTCAGAAAAGAACACCTCCAGTCAGTTGCAATTGTAGAAATTTACCATCCGTTTGGTGCAAAAGAGCAGGAAGAACCACCAACCGATATACATGAAAAAGAAAGAAAATAACAACAGCACGCAAGAGAAAATAGGAATAACGAGTTTTCATCATCCAAAAGAATCAGTGTTGTCCCAAAAGAATCAGTGTTGTCCTACTCATCAAGTCACTATTAATTCACAAAAACATCCATTAATAATCAATTAGAATAGATATTATGTGTTCTTGAGACACAATAGGAGCATCATATGTAAAATATTTAAAATAAGCACATAACAACCATTGGGGTTATATGTATACTTTCAATACCCAAATCTGAGAGATAAATCAACATTGCATGTGTTTTGTGCAAATTTCAAATAACATAACGAGATCATGTGTATATTTATGGGAGTTATTTATAAATAGAAGGGCTTTTACTTTATATGCTTTATGTGAGTTAATGATAAATATAGTATTAATTATACTATCACCTCTTAAAGATTGACTTTTGGGGCAGAACGCCGCCGCAGTGTTTGGAAGAAGCGTTCAATCAGCTTATTCATGACGCATCGCGTCCGCGTCCAGGAATTCCTTAAGCGTCTTACCCGCATTCAGCTTGTATCGTTGCCCTAAATACCCCTGATCTCCCTCTCGCTCTCCCTCCCTGGATTCGTCACCCTAGACCGTGTTCCTTTCGATTTTTCTTTCTAATTCGTAAGGTATGTTTTCCCTCACCGTCAATGCTTCTTTCACTCACCGTTAATTCATAAGGTATGCTTTCCCTAGAGCGATCGAACGTCGCTGGGCGTGAATGGTTCTTTCTGGACTTGAAATGGCGATCGAACGTCACTGTTCCTTGTTTTTTTTCTTCCTTGACCGAAGAGCAAGGATTTTCGTCTTCTTCTTTTTATTTTCAGCTCGAACAATGCGAATGGTTCTTTCTGGTTGCTCTAAAATTCCTTTCGATTTTTGTTGGGCGTGAAGAAAAAGTGTCGAGAATGCATTCCTTATATCGGGCTCAAATTTTGTTTCGATTTTTGCCACTCATTTCGATTTTTGCTGGTTATTACATAATTTTTGTTGCATGACCGAAGAACAAAGATTTTCTTCTTCTTTTTATTTCAAGTCGAAAAGCAAGGATTTTTTTCAGGGCGTGAGGAATATTTTCTAAGCTCCTTATAGAGGCAAGGAAAGGCTTAAGAGATGTCTATGAGCTGCTATTAATTCCTGTTTTTCAAGTTTATGAGCTGCTATCAATTCCTGAGCTGTTGTCAATTCCTGAGCTGCTATTAATTCCTATTTATGAGCTGTTATTAATTTTTGTTTATAGGAAATATAGGAAAGCCTTGAGAGTTCGATTTTCAAGTCTCTAGATGAATGGTGGTTGATCTTTCTGTTTACTTCTCTGGATTCCTTATCTCTTTTCAAATTCTTAATGATACTATATGCATATCTATGTATTCATTGCAATCCCCGTTGGTGGCAAATGTCATCGCCTTGGTATGGATTATGACTTTGATGCACGCTATGGAAATTGATTTGGTTGGAAATTGATTTGTTTATTTGGAAAATGTATGACCAAATGAGACATGTAAATACATCTTGCTTGGCTTCGTTCAAATAAGGAAATCTTGATTTGGTTATAAATTGAAGATTATGGCTTAGTTCATGAAAATGCATCTCAAATCATTACGATATTGTTTATTCTCCTATGGTAGCTTAATATGGTAGCTTAATAGCTTTGTATTTCTAATGTTTCAAACCTAATTTTAAAACTACATCTACCTTGTCATTGAGAGGATTCCATACTCTTATCTTTAGTTTTATGTTAGGAATGGCAATGGTTATAGCATTGGGGAGTAAAGTACATACAGAATGGCAATGGTTATAGAATAGTGGAAATGTTTTACGTTGCAGCTGCTGGTTTCAATGGCATTTGTTATAGAATTGTTGAAATGTTTTATACTCAAGTGTGGTATAAAGTTTTTTTGACATACTCGAATCATTCCAATTGAGATATGCTTATGCCTGCTTGGTTTTTCCGATACAGGATCCGAATTTATTGGTTGTGTCTGCTTTTGGTTTATTGTTCATATGCGTATGCAAGGCTTTCTGTCATTATATTAGGCTTTCAAATGGCATTTATGCGGTTTTCTGGTTTTATATGAAGCATTTTTCACACTTTTATAGCTGTCAAAATGCGAATCAGAAGAGAAAAAATTGGTATTCAATTATTAGCATACATGAAAAGGGAGAAAGAATTAAAACATGTTCTATTTTTATCTGTTAGTTGAGAAACTTTTATTAGCACCAAAGGGAGAAAAAGGAGGAGGAATTGCATGTTGTAGTGTTCTCCCTTAAGAATTATAGTTATGTAACATTACACAATTGCATAATAAAACATGTTCGATGTCTTACTGTGGATGTAGGTCTTTGACCGAACCACATAATTCTTTTGTCCTTATATATTTTTTTTTTTTGTGAGCAAATAGCTACACCGTTGTTTGTATTGGTGGCAGAAAAATGGTTTAAGATTCATAGTTATGAGCAAATCCTTTAAAAGTTGTATCAATGTGATTATTTGGATATTGTTGTTGTTGTTGGCTTGTGTTAAGTATGTCTATATGGATTTATGCTTTGTGCTTGGGCAATTAGCTTTGTGTTTGTGCTAGTGCAAATATTTCTTCAACAATTTTCTTATGCATTTTGAGTTTCAATATGAATTTCTTTGTGCAATATACAATTCTTCATATAGTTTCACCATGGCTAAGACAAATGAAGGTGGTCTATCAGCGATATGGGATAAGGAAGTTACAAATATTTTCTGCAAACTCTGCATCAGCGAGATTGAGATCGGGAATAGGTCAACCACTTATTTCAACAAGAAAGGTTGGCAAAATATAGCTAAAAGGTTTAAAGAAATGACTGAAAGGGATTATGACAGACTGAAGTTTAAAAATAAATGGGATCAATTGAAGAAATGGAAAATTTGGAAGAAGCTGAAACGTGGATCCACGGGATTGGGCTGGGATCCCATTAAACGGACCATTGATGTTCAATATGAATGGTGGGCCGAGAAATTAGAGGTAAATATGACATTATCATTTTGTTTATTACAAATATTTTTTATTTAACCAATTATCCCCCTAAACCCCCTTCTCGATGTAATGTTACAGGCAATGCCGACAGCAAAAAAATACAAACAGAGCGGAATCGAGCCGGATCTTGAAAACAAACTTGACATAATGTTTAAGAGGGTTCTGGCGACGGGAAAGCATGCATTCAGCTCTAATGAGACGGGGTTTGCAAGTATACCAGATTACTTCCCGCTAGAGCCGGTGACAGCTGATGAAGAAATACATAGGGTTAACCAGAAGGAGTTAGGGAAGTCAAGCTCATAGTCAAAGAGGCCCAGGCTAGGATGAAGGAAGAAAGAAAAGGAGATTTTTGTTAAAACTTCATTTGACCGACTCATAGATGCATTTGGAGCTCTATCGCCTGCTCCACTTCCTGACAGCACTATCTTTGATTGTCTTCAAACTTTGTCTATTACCCCGAATTAGTTGCGGATATGTGCTTTCATGCATTATGTATGAAAAAGTTAGAGGATCAAACACGTAGGCAAATATTCATGGCGATGGAACCAAAGCTGCGCATCGAGTATTGGTGTGTTCTTGTGGATGAATGAATTTTTCTATGTTTTCTTTTATTATATTATGAACTCTTTGAAATTATGTACTCATTTATTATTTGGAGTTATGATTTTTTTTTATTGTACTTCTACATGATTCTTGAATGTCTTTTAGTAGAGCTCTATACATTTTTATTGTAACTGACTGAGTGTTCTCATTGTTTATTTCTCGTTCGCTCTATTGGTTAGCAATTGTTGAACTAACCGACATCTTTCTTCCTTTAGGATGGATCCGCAACATGAACGTCGTAAGAGAATGGCATGGGTTGCAGCTATTGTCATTGTTGGAGTTGGAGTATTGCAGATCAAGCAGTGTTCGTATACCCCGTATGACCTCCAGCTTTGCTAGGGATAAATGGGTAGGTGAGATATTTTCTGGACATCCAATTAGGTTCAGCAACATATTTCGAATGACTGTACCGATATTTATAGATCTCCTGCAAGAGTTATCCCCGAATCACGGACTCCAAGGTTCTTCGAGAACGACGAGAAGGGAGGTATTGGCTATAACACTATATATTCTGTTACAGAATGAATCAATTAGAAGTGTACAGAATGAATCATTACAGAATGAATCAATTAGAAGTGCTATGGAGAGATTTCAGCATTCATCAGAGAAAATAAACTGTTATTTCTCCAAAGGCATACAGGCACTTGTTAGCTTAGCCACTAAAATTGTCAGGTCAGAGGATTCATCATTTGCTAATACTCCATGACAAATCACAATCGATCCTGATTACATTCCTTA